GGGGGGGGTCTGAAAAAGGATTAAAGCCAGGTATTCTGAGTCCAAACCCAGCCCTCTCTCCACTCTGCCATGCTTCTCTCACTGCAATCCACACACACAGGAAGCAACTCGACACAACAAATTACAAGTGCTTTGAACTACCATGTAGGAATATCCTGGTAAAAGATTCACTTTCTAGTGGAACTTTTAAGACTGATACAGAAACAAGCCAAAGATTTTCTTTTTTGTTCAATACATTTAAATTCTACCACTTGGAAGCATTAGATATTCTCTAATATAAAAAACATTTGTATAACCTTTGTAAATCAATTGAATTCCCCCTAAAATGGCTTCGTAATAGAACTTACCAAGAAACATTTCTAGCATAAGGACTAACAGTATAACCTGCACTGTTTCAGGGCACATATCAAGGACTATACACCTCACATTTTAAAAGACTTCTCTAAAAAGAAAACAAAAGGGAAAGAGGACTGACTGTATATTAAGCTGACAACCTATGGCACACATAACAATTTTTGGTGGTACAGTGGCCAACTCACTGGACAGCAAAGTGTGGATGCACCTAGGGAGGGCAGGCATCAGGTTACGAGGAAGAGACTCTGTCCTACAGTGCTACTGCTCTTTCTCTCTCCTCCTCTCCATCATCTATACACCCATTCCAAGAGGCCTAAAGGGAAGTGGGGAGCATTAGCATAAGAGATCACGGGAATGGCTCCTCCAAAAGGCTCATCCAGGCTGGGATGACAAGCTTTCCAGATATAAGCATTTCTTCACTTCACTATTCCCTCACACTTGAAGGGATCAGTAAGCAAATAACTGGCACACTCCTGAGACAGAATGTAGACCCTACTTCTATTTCTTCATTAAAGAGGAACCCAGGAATACCCACAGTTTTGAAATCAATAAAACAGAAACAACTATGACCTGATGATGTAATCTGTGGATTTTCCAGATTTCAAGTGTTTTTAAACGGATCTTAAGCATTTTGCTGTTACCTAGCATTTTTGCCATATTGGACACCAGGAAAAAAAGTGTAAATCAAGTTAATATTACTATGTGTTAAAAATCCTAACAGGGCAGCTAGGTGGTGCAGTGGATAGAGCTCCAGCATTGGAGTTCGGAGGACCTGAGTTCCAATGTGATCTCAGACACTTGACACTTACTAGCTGTGTGACCCTGGGCAAATCACTTAACCCTACAGCCTGGCAAAAAGGCAATAAATAAATAAATAAATAAAAATCCTAGTAAGAGATTAAACTACTGAAATTAAAGGCTAAAGTGTGGTTTGGGAATTAACAACAAATTTCAATAACTACTCTGTAATACAAATTACTACAGACAACTGAGGAGTAGTATTACAGTATTTGAATGTATTATGCTGAAAAAAATTTTAAAAGGGGAATCCAGTGAAGATATACTAAAAAAAAAAAAAGACATCTTTCCTACAAATTAATTCATTCAATACCCACTTTAAAAGTAAGCTACTAAGCGGGTTGGTTATGGAGATCATAAAATAAAAGCTCCTTACCATCCCTAAACATTAATTTCACATCTCAAAAGTGGTCTGTAAAGGTAATTAACATATAGTCTCTGATCTCATGATGCTTAAATAAGCCTCCTGATTAAATCTGAAATGCAACTTGAGAAGCTGAAGTCACTTGATTTTAAAGAATATAGATTTTAGTAGAAAAAAGTAACACATTAACAAAAGAAGAAAAGCCAAATGGAATATCACTTAAATGTACATCCTATCGTGTCAATGTGTCTAAAATTTTACAAGTATTATCACACAGAACATGTCATTTAATTCTGTGAATTAGAGCAAGCCTTTTTACTTCTATTTTACAAATGATGAAAATGAGTTTCAGAGAGAGATTTGAAACCATTACAATGTCTATTGATATTGGTGATGGGGATGATGATGATGATGATAAGAGCTGACAATTTATAGTGTGCAGATAACTTTGTATAAATTACCTCATTTGATCTTTAGCAGTTCTATTAAGTAAATATTGCAAAAATATTAGGTTCCTAGAAGCAGCTAGATAGTGTAGTGTTAAGAGTTACAGGCTTATAGTAAGGAAGAGTTGAGTTCAAGTCCTGCCTCACTAATGAGTTGTATGACCCTGGACAAATCACTGAAACCTCTCTCAACCTCAGCTTCACCATTTGTAAAATGGAGATACAGTAGCAGCACCTACTTCACCATGTTATTGCAAGGATCAAATGAGATAAACAGTTAAAAATTTGCTTTGCAAACTTTAAAGCACTATATATAAATGAGCTATAATAATTATTAAATTATTAGTTTTCCTTTTACACATGATCAAACTGAGGTTCAGATCAGTTAAAATGCCTTCCCGGTGACATTGCTAATAAGGGATAAATCTGAGACTGGAAACCAAATCTGCCTCCTGTACCTAATGTTCTTTTCCACCATGGTAAAAGATTTAATGGGGAAACCCGTAAGAGTCCACATTCCATAGACGATATGATTTTTACCAACAGGCCACAGATAGATTTTGACAATATTTATTAATGTGTTGCCTGAAAAAAAAAATCTTACTTGACAATGATTAGAACAGCTATTTGGCATGAAAGAATAAATGCAAAAGCTTTTGCAAAATGATGAAAAGAAACTTAATCAAATAGCCATTTGTAAAAGGTGTGCACTGAGGGCAGCTAGGTGGTGCAGTGAATAGAGAACCAGCCCTGGAGTCAGAAGAACCTAAGTTCAAATCCAGCCTCAGACCAAACACTTGACATTTATTAGCTGTGTGACCCTGGGCAAGTCACTTAACCCCAACTGCCTTGCCAAAAAAAGCAAATAAATAAATAAATAAAAGGTGTGCAGTGACATAATTCCAGAGACTTCCAAAGGAAGGTAACAACTAGGATTAGACTGACAGGAATCATAGTCCACAACAGTCAAAACTATTTCACCTAGAGAAGTAACTACCAGGGCTGCTAGGTGGCACAGTGGATAGATAACCGGTTCTGGAGTCAGGAGGACCTGAGTTCAAATCCAGCCTCAGGCACGTAACAGTCACTAGCTGTGTGACTCTGCACAAGTCATTCAACCTCAAATTCCTCACAAAAAAAAAAAAGAGAGAGAAAAGCAACCACCAAAGAAAGGGGCAGAGGCTGGGCAATCCTTTGCAGTATCAATAGGTGCAACAAATGATTCAGAGGGAAATAATCCAATTTAACACTCTCCACTGTAGCAAATTTCAAAATATTTTCTACATCAAGACAATATAAGAAAAAAAAAAGACAATATAAGAGAGGGAGCCTAGCCCAAGTCACAAGAGAGAAGACAAAATAAAAGAACAGGAAATAGAATAGGAAAAAAGAATGAAATACACAGATTATAAAAAGAAAAATTAAAGAGAAAAACAAAGGGTGAAAATTATACTTATTTATCAAAACATTGTCTCTATTCAATAAAGATTTTTTATTTATTTAAGGCATGACACTGACTGGGACCTCATTTCAATTCCTACTCTAATGGCTTCATTATGGTGGTGATCTTAATTTCCAAAAGTCTGTATCATTTTTGACAAGCTGGTTCAAGTGGGTGCCTAATGACAGACCCTATGTCTGGATCCTAAGACTAGCCTCATTAGTCTAGCTCACAACCAGGATAGGTATATTCCAGGATAATTAATTTTTCAGCCACAGCAATTCTGGAAAACCATCCACCTTCTTACTAAATAATAGATGAGGCTGTCTTCTACATTTGAGGAGGCACCAACAGATCTTACAAGTCCTAAAGTAAAAAACTGAATAAAGTAACTTATCACTAAAAAGCATGCTTCTGAAATCCTCTGGACTACAGATTAATTTACTCAACAGCACTACCTTTTTAAAGATATTTTTTAAGGATATATACTATTTTCAAAACAAAGATCCATTTCTAAGATAATTCTAATCTCCTCCAACCCATCTGACTTCCCAGATACTTCTCAGCAGTCAAAGGTAAACAGGAACTGAAGAACTAGTATGTTCTAGAACTATTAAGTATGGCTTACTTTAAGTCTTTCTAATTGTCACAGACAAACACAGACGAAAACCTACTTAAGGTCCATTGAAATCAAATATTCAACAATAAAGGAGTAACATGGAACCCAGGTTAGATTCTATGCCCTAAGTAAACACTTATTGATCAGAATAATTTCACTACAAAGGCAGAATCCTTTTGGAGGGATAATCCCACAGAGTGCCTTAATTTTACCAGTACTTTCAAACTCCCTTTTATACTCACTCTATCAAATGATCTAGTCAAATTTAAATTTCAAATATCCAAGCTGGCTTCCAAAATCAAACCCAAAAAAAGTTGAAAAGCAGTGTAAATTTTGCCAGTTTTGGGGGCAGCTAGGTGGCGAAATGGATAGAGTACCAGCCCTAGATTCAGGAGGACCTGAGTTCAAATCCAGCCTCAGACACATACCACTTACTAGCTGTGTGACTCTGGGCAAGTCACTTAACCCCGACTGCCTCACCAAAAAAAAAAAAAATTGCCACTTTTCCATATAAAGACATGGAGATATAAGTACAAACACATACATATCATTTCAAAAGCCAAAAGATTTTAGAAACTACAGAAAAAAAATAATTTTAACAGCAAAAAGATGAAACTATTTCAAGCATTTCAAAAAGGCTTGCCAGGTGAGATTTACCTTGAAGTTGGTGCTTGTACTCATTAGGCTGGACTGTAGAGCAGAGCTTCTCCAAATTTTCATCCTCTTTGTGGTGCATGAGGTAAAAGAGTTTCCAAAGCATCTGGACTGATAATGTTCCAAAGGGCATCTCTGACATAAATAGCCAAATGCCCAACCTATTGTTTTTTAAGAACAGTACAAAGTTTCAAATCTCACAGAAAAAACCTTAGAAGCAGAACAAAAAATTCTTCTGTCCACCTAAGCATAAGACCACCCACATACTTACAAATTCATAGACGGAGCTACCTTCTGGATTAGAGAAGGTATCTCCAGAGATGAAGTTGTTTTTTTTTTTTTAAATCACTCTTTAAGACAGCCATAAACTCCTGTGGCACTCCAATAAAAGATTATGGACCCTTTCTTTCTCAGAATGTCTTTAAATGCATAAAATAAAATATGTAAGCTTACAAAGGAAATCAACTGTACTGAAATACAATTATCAAAATTCTTTTTTAGTTCACAAATACCAGGTTAAGAGCTCTTACACTAGGTCATACTGCTTTTCATTGATTGTGAGACAATTTAATCAACCAGCACATCAAAGAACAAATAAGTATATGAGTACATTATATATTGTGAAGAATGAAAAGAAGCATGATACATAATCTATACCCTCCACTGGTGAGGGCTGACACCGTACTGTGAGAATCCTCATAGCACTGCTCTTGATCAGTTATGACCAAGTACATAATAAAAAGAATGCTGGATATGGAGTCAGGAATATCTCAGTTCAATATACTGCCTCAGACATTTAGTAGATGTATAGCCTTAGGCAAGTCACTTAACCTCTCTGTACTTCAGTTTCCTCATCCATAAGTGTTAGTTATTGTTGTTATTGTTGTTGTTACTGAAATGTGCCGCCTAGACCTTGATGATACTGCTGGGGACAATATGCTTTACAAAACTTTCTTTTGGGGGGGGTTGGAAGGCAAAATGGTAATTGGACCAATGATTCTGTCACTGAGATTGCACTGTGGAGAAATTCCTTTCACCAATGTACATCAGTAACTCACCTCTTACAGGGCTAACTGGAAGGCTGAAAGGCCAAAGTCACCATATACAGCTATTATGTATCAGTGCATGACTCAAACCCAGGTCTACCTGACACCAAGACCAGGCCCCTATTCACCATGCCATGCTCCCTCTATATAACTATTAATGTATTAATAATTATTTTTCTCTCAACCACTTCCAGCAGGCTACATACCTTTTAGCTTTCAGAACATGCAGGACAGCCCTGAGAAACAGCTCATCAAATTCAACCTGGAGCTTCTCCATTGAATAAGGTTGCATACCTAATCCATAGCCTTGGTTATGGCTCACAAACTGGGCCCAGTGATCACTCACATAACAAAGTGTCATTCTATATAAGAAAATCATATTAAATCACTTAAATCCACTGGTTCAATATTAGTTTATTTTATTAGACAGCCTGTTTAAAGCATTTTGATTAAGAAGGGGTAAAAAAAATACTACACTAGGGGCAGCTAGGTGGTGTGGTGGATACAGCACCAGCCCTGGAGTCAGGAGGACCCGAGTTCAAATCTGGCCTCAGACACTTGACATTTACTAGCTGTGTGACCCTGGGCAAGTCACTTAACCCCATTGCCTAGCCAAAAAAAAAAAATTACTACACTAAATCCAAACTGTGTCATTCAATCACTATAGAGATAAACCCTATTTTCCATTTTAATAAATAATAATATTCTTCTAGTACATTTAAGTAATAAGCGATTTATAACAATCATTGCCATGACAATTATTATCTACATTATGACTCTGGGAGTCACCACAGGCTTGATTCTTAAACCATAGTTAAAACCATAGGAAACCCCCCAGTCTCATTCCCTGGCCCATCTTGGCCCACAGGAAAAATCCAAGCAGATGTTGGAAGGGAGAAAAGAAAAGAAGAGAAGAGAAAGGCAGAAGGAAAGAAGCTGCACTTTCCCCTTCCCATTCTTCTCTAGCATGAAATTCAGTCCCAAGGACAGATTTTAAGATCTTGGGCCTAGGAATAGCTAAATTATCAAACCAACTAACTTTGAAACAGTTTAACAAGGTTTCGGCTACAAACATTTATAATATGCCCATTAGGTACAAGACAGAAGAAAATAAGTTCTTAGTTTAATGATGGATCATGCAGGTGAGAGGCTACCATTAAAATGATGATTGTTTTCAGTCAAGAGAAGAGTTCAAATAAATATGAACATCTGCAATATTTACCTAATCATAAAACCAATTCGTTTCACAAATTGCCTATAGCGTGCTCTATTGAAGGTTTCTAATCCTACAGCCAGAAGTTCCACTAATGAATTGGCAAAGGCAAAAATTTTCATCATCTCTTGAGGTCTTGTTGTTTCAGGTAAATAATCATCTATAAATTAACAACAGAAAAGGTAAAAATTAAAGGGGAAAAAATTATCAAAGGTACAACACAAAGACTTCAAAAGACAAATTCATAGAGCATTTGATAGTTATGAGATTGAGCTAACATTCATGGGAAGATATTTTAGGTGTCCAGGCAACAAAATGAATCCATGTAGCAAAGATGGTAAAGCTCTGATGAAGTCAAGTAAACTGCCAACTCACCAACTAGAGAAAAAGAGGTGAAAGAAGTTACAGAAATAGTCGACAAAATGGGAAAGAAAACTATGGGAAAAAATGTAAACAATGGCAATCAAGATGATCCAAAAACAGTGTCATGTTACAGCTAACCACAGCACAACTAAATACGAGAAAAAGAGCTTGAAGAGGAGCACTGTCAGGGGCAGAGATATAAATACAAAAAACTATTAGCCAAATTCAATTTTTTTTCTTATGTTGAACATATTTACCACAAAGGCATTCTCTTGACTGCAAAAATTATGCAGATTCACCCATATTTGGAAGAGATTCCTTCCACTGAAATTCTCTGCATTCAAGGCTCAAGGTACCATGAGGCCTTCCTTTATCACTTGGCTAAAGGTGACATGTCCTTTCACCACACCTCTCATGCCTTTCTGACATTTCCTACGTATTTATCTCATTCCTTATATTTAACTACTTGAATAAGTCTTAACAACTTATCAGATTGTAGAGTCCTTGGTAGCAAATATTGAGTCATTTTTACCCTCTGTATTTAAACACTGACTTGTCATTTGTAGCTGCTTAAATAATGTTTTTTGAATTAAGTACAAAATTCTCCTCAATATTCTTTAGGAATCAATTTACCTTTCCCTTTAAATCCAAGAAAGTGTTTAAAGAGTTCATGAAATGGGAACTGTGACAAAATAGCAATCAAGTCATCTTCACTAAGGAGAATCCAACTTGTCTCAGGATCTTCATCCTAAAGGAAAAAATTCAAAAACATTTCATTTGGTTTCACAAAATCTTAATGAGTTCTCTGGGCTTCTCTGTTGATAAATTATCAATAAAATTTCAAAAGATTTCTTCCTTTTCTGGATACCAAAAGATCTGAATTTCTTCTTTAGGCTAGGGATCTTATTAAAGGGATATATACTTTCAGTTACAGTTTCAACTGAAGTTATAACATACTACACTGCAAAAGTCAACCTTTAAAGTGAAAAATACCTTTACTAAAATCCCAACCAGACAATAATAGTGGGTATATATATATATATATATATATGACAGGTGGTGTACCTTTCCCCCAGAGCTCAGAAGTTTCAGGCAGATGGTTGATTCTACCTATCAGAGGCTGCTTCAGTGACAGACTGCCCAAAGTTCTACTCTCTATCAGTTAAAAGAGCCTAAAACAATCTAAATAAGATATACTTACATGGCAAATATAAACCAAAATCTGAATTTTTATCCAGAAAAGTACAAGTCAGCCAGACTATCTTATCTCTTTAATAATTCATAATATTCCTAAAGGTAGCAGAAACTGGTACAAAACACAGATCTTGATAAATATGACACATCAACTTTAACAAAAGTAACAATGCAATTTCACAAATAAATGTTTTCACCAACCACACTCTTATCTTCCTTTAGGCTGTCCCAAAAGGACTTAGAAACTGAAGCTTCAGAGACTTCACAGTAAAGTATAGCAAACAGAAAATGACCCTTTCTTTTCTCAACCTCTAATCCATAAGGGTCTTAATGGTTGCTTATCTCTGGGATCAAATTCACTAGGATGAAATCACTGGAAAAGGTTACAATTTCAGAAATTTCACCACCCCACCATATCTTAATAACATCCATTTTGCATCAGCCTCTGAAAACCTTGCTTTAAGGCTAACAAAACAGCTACTAGTACAAGCATCCTATGTTCCTGATCATTTACCACCATCATATTACCTCTACCAAATCTCAAAAGGAGGAACATAAAAAAAGCAAGAGATTAGTTTTCCCCTTTGGTTGTTCCTTTAAGTATCTAGTTACAATAACAAAACATCTTAAAATATCCAGAAATATATACCCACTACCACCATGAATATGATGGTTGTAGCTCTGAGATGGTGACTGCTACCCACTCCATACTTATCAACTGATTAGAGAGAGAAATTACTTTGAAAATCCTTCTCTTAACCCTCCTGGCTAGACACTGCAGAATAAAGGGACTCTAAGCACTCCCTTATCTTATCACCTGGAACTGTTTTGAGTTTATTAGCCAAGGACACTAAAAGACTTCAGTTCAGACACCGACATACAAAAACTCCATCACAATGGGGCCTGCATAAGTAAATTCTCACCAAAAAATAAGAGGAAGACTTTCTATCTTTCAAATGCAATATCCCATGCTATAGTTTTCATTACAAATCTATAATATCTAAGTAAAACCCTACCATAATGTGACTTATTATTACACTAATTTGGATAGACAAGTCAAATTCTATTCCCCCAAAGCAAAGGTAAATATTCCAGTATCATGGCTAGCCTTTAAGGCAGCAGGTCAATCTTATCCTCCAATGCTAAGTTTTGTTATATTTAATTTTTAGTCTTTACCCTTCCAAGTTTAATAAAAGCATTATGATCCTTAAAGTAAGTACCTCTTCTCCTCCTTCATCTACTAATGTCCAGTTCCCAGACTCAGGCCCAGGGGAGGAAGGTTTGTATTCATTTGGCTTCATGTGGCACATAAACTCAGCTCGATTTCTAAAAAAGGTAGAAAAATCACATTAATGTCAGAAGCAATGTTTATGTAAAAAAGCATAAATTAACTTAGGGTTTTCTTCTCATCCTGAGATATAGTCAGATACAAATGCACTGTTTCAACTCTCCTAAAATAGAGAATAGAAGAAAATTAGCAAAACCCAAGTAGAATAAAACCATATTAATTCAAACTGAAGTATAAGACTAATAAGCGTATTAGGCTAAACTAGTAAAAAGTCTGAATTATAAAATAGTTTTTAAAGAAAATGCAGTTATATTAGCATAGTTCCTTATACAAGCTTTGGCTAAGACCTACTATGTGCCAGACACTGGACTAGAGCTGACGCTAGACAAGTCCAAAATGAAATAAAGGCCTACTTGCAAAGAGCTTACATTCTAATGAGGGATACAAACAAGTACATAAATAAAATGAATTAATACAAATATATACAAAGCAATTAAACACAAGTTAGTTTGTGAAGACATAAACTAGCACTGAAGCGGGCTCAGGAATGATTGAAGCAGAGGGTAATGCTTGAGCTTTGTCCTAGAGGAAGAGCTCTAGAGGTTTCGTGAGGCAGAGGTGAGGAAGGCCTGAATTTCAGGCATAGAGGAGAGCCAGTATAGGGGAAGGATTGTCCCAAGTGAGGAAGAGAGGAAAGGGCAGTGTGACAGAACACAGGAAGAGTGAGAGACTGGAAAGATACATCAGGACCAGCTTGTCAAGGGCTTTAAAAGCTAAACAGAAGAAAACAACAGGAAGTCACTGGAGTTAATCGAAAAGGAAAGTCACACAGTCAGATATAAGCTAAAGGAAAATTCCTTTGTGTAGAATGCACTAGAGTGGTGATATACTAAAGCAAGGTAATTAGTTAGGAAGCTGTTGCAGTAAACTAGGCAAGACGTGAAGAGGGCCTGAACTAAGATGTTAGCTGGGTGAAGGGAGAGAAGGAATGATATATGAGACACATTACAAAGGTAGAAACAGCAAAATTTAGCAACTGATTGGATATGGAAGGAGAGGTAGAAGGAGGAGTCAAGGATAATAACAAAGTTACAAACCTAGTCTGCAAGAATGGTGGTGACTTCAACATGTAAGTTTCCAAGAAATGAGGATTTGAGGGGAAAGATGATGAGTTTAGTTTTAGACAGGTTGAGTTTAAAATGCCTCCAGAACATCCCATTTGAAATGTTCAATAGGGAAATGGCAATGCCAGATTAAAGTTTGGGGAGAAACTGAAGCTAGATATAAAAATCTGAGTCATCTGCACAGATGAGATGAGAAGAGGGTGTAGAAAAAAACCTTGGGAAATACCCACAGCTATGGGGCATTATATGGTCGATGGACCAGCAAAGGAGACTGAGAAAGAGCAGTCAGACATGTAGGAAGAAAACCAGGAAATAGTAGAGTTGTTAAAACCTAGAGAGGAAAGAGGATCCCAAAGCAGATGATGGACAGTGTCAAATGCAACAAAGACTTCAAGAAAGATAGGCTTCAGAAAAGGCAGGAGATTTGACAATTAAGGGATCACTGAAAAAAGTCTGAAAATGTGCAATCAGTTATGCTGATTTTTTTTCCTCTTTAAAAGACTATTTGTTATATGGGATGACTTTTTGGGAGGGGAAGGGGAAAGGATACCAGGGTAACTATAATAATGTAAGAAACAGAAGACATCAATAAAACTTATTTTTAAAATAATATTATTTTTTAAAAGATCATTATAAGTTGAGGGATGAGTTCAGAAACCAAAATGCAAAGGGTCAAGGAGTAAGAGGAAAAAAAGCAGCAGCAGTCACAGATGACTTTTTCTAGGACTGAAACTGAGAAACCGAAGAAACTCAGGATGCTATCTCCGAGGTGAAGTACAGTAAATGTTTTTAAGGATAGGGAAGACTGAGGCATGTTTGAAAGCAGTAGAGAAGGGAGAAGTTGAAGATTTAAGACCAAGAGATGATTGAAGACTGAATCTTCTGGAGAAGATGGGAAAAGAGACAGTTTCAAGCAACATGCAGAGGGATTTGTCTCAGAAAAAAGATGATCCATTTTTTTGTTGGAGATTGGGGGAAAACAGGTAAGAGCAGGAAATGCTATAAAGGGATTTTTAAGAATCAGTCAATATTTATCTGAGTAAACAACTCAAACTAGATTATATGAGCATTGTTACTATAAGGCAGCATTATTAACTACTGCTGTAGGACAATATTACACAGACATCATGAGGGGACTTGCCTTAAGGAATAAAAAATAATAATTTGTAATTAACATATCACTTTGTTCTATAGCAGCTACCATTTATAAAACATTTTAAGATTTGCAAAGCACTTTACAAATACTACCTCATTTGATCCTCACAACAACCTTAGGAGGTAGGTGCTATTATCACTCCCCTTTTACAGTAAATGAGCAAACTGAAGCAAACAAAGGTTAAGTGACTTGCCCAGGGTCACAAAGCTAGTAAATGTCTGAGGCTGGATCTGAACTTAAGTCTTTCTGATTCTAGATCCAGCTCTCTATTCACAGAGCCACAAAGCACCTTTAAAATCCTAGAAAACACTTCAGAAAAACCTGGAAAGACTTATATGGTCTGATGCTGAGTGAAATGAGCAGAACCAAGAGAACGTTGTACAAATAACAGCCATGTTGTGCGATACCTAATATTGATAAACTTAACCCTTCGCAGCAATACAAGGATCTAAGACATCTCCAAAGGCCTCGTGATAGAAAATGCTGTCTACATCCAAAGAAAGAACTATGGAGTTTGAATGCAGATAGAAGCATACAATTTGCTATTTTTTTTCCCCTCTGTTGAGTTTTGTTTCCTCTTTCTGGTGGTTCCTCCTATTGGTTCTAATTCTTACTTACAACATCACTAATGTGAAAATATTTTTAATAGTAATGTATATGAATAGCCTATATCAAATTGTGCACCATCTTAGGGAGGGTGGTGGGGAGGAAGGGGGAGAAAAATTTTAACTCAAAAGCATATGGAAGTGATTGTTGATAAATCAAAATAAATTAATCTAAAAAAATAAAATAAAATAAAATGCTAGAAAACTAGCTATTTAGCACCTACTATGCACAAAACACTGTGGGAGGACCTATATGAGCTAAAGTGACTTGATAAGACCAGGTATTTGCCATCAAGGAGTATGTAATTTAGTCTGTTTGACTTGGTGTTAAAAAGTTTACCAGCATAATCAAGTTTTAGGACCTCTTTGTTCTTCTCTGTCCCTCACAGAATCTACTCACTCTCTTCAACTTTGTTGATGGCTCCAAAATTGGCACCTCCAGTCCTGTCCTTTTTCACATGAGCTCTGATCAAATTTCTCCAATTGCTTACTGAGCATTTCAACTTGGATTGTTTAATAGTAGACTCAAATTTTAAATGTATACAATCCAAAGTCATCTTCCTTCCTCCCAAATTGGCTTTAGCTCTTGATTTCAATATTAATATCAACCATCACTCTCAGTTACGAGGTATCATAAACTTTAAGTCATCTTTGGTTGAATTTCTAATTCATTTCTTTCTTCAATGATTAAGTTACCAAACTATTTCAATGTTTTCTTCAGAGTGGCTCTCCCTCTGTTACAAATATGGCTATCCCAGTTCATACTCCCATCACCTCATATTGAAATTATTCCAGTATGGCTTTCTAAATCTAAGTTTTCTCCATTCCAATCTCACTTGCAGACTAATCTTCCTCAAATAATGTTCTTTACCATGTCACTCTACTATACAAAAAAGTTTGGAAGAGGAAAGTTATTTCTAGGAATGACTGTGATATAATAAAATGCATCAATATAGTTTGTTTTAAGGGAGAAAAGATATAGGATGACAGCTTGAAGTCAAGCAAAAGATTTTTTTTAATTGGGAGATAAAGAGGAATTCTGGGAATGGTTTGTACAGCCAATATATAAAAACAGATTTTAGAAGGGAAGGAATGATGTAAGGAACCAAAACTGCAGTAAGATATGATGGGGGTGTGAACAAGACAAAAAATAGGAGACTTTGCCTTGACAAAAAGAGATACTTTTTTCTAAGTGACAGAATTACATGAAAAGGGGTTTTAAGGTATACAGCAGAGAAGAAAAGGGTGCTCAAGACAGAAGCCCCCTACGTTTCTTCTGCTGAGAAAGAAAGAGGAGGTAATGTAGCTTCAGGAAAAGGTTTTGAATAGCTGCTATAGAAGATGTGTCAATTGGGGAGAAATAAAAAAGATTACCATGCAACAGTAAAGATCCCGCTGAGATTAAATAACAAATTTGTAAGGAACCCATTCAGCAAATCATTCGTGTTCTTCCAGTGGTATTCAGTATCATATGAACACCAGTGGAGAAAGGGTAAGGTAGAGGTAAACCAGGACTGGAATTTGGCAGTGCAACAAATAAAAGGCCAAGGGGGCAAAAGATTCAAAAGTAGTGGATAGTGTACAGTTAAACTGGACAACTATGAGGTCAAGACAGTAAAGAGAAGAAAGTAAGGCCAAAGCAAGGAAAGACTAGTATTGAAAATAGAGGGAGGGGTAGAGGGAATGGAGGTCATGGTGTGGATGGAGAACTGGTTTAAGGAGAAATGAGGCAAGATGGAACAACAGTCAGTTGTGATCAGAGAGAAAAATTTCAGAGTTTAAAATCACTAAAACTGTTATAGGTTATGGTGAGATCAAGGTTACAGCCATACCTCCATAATGATGAAATGGTATGAAGATGGAGATCATAGAAGTTTAGAAGGTTGATGAACTTGTAGGGTAGGATGTTCAAGGGGATATCTGCTTGCATATTGAAATCCCCAAGTATGAGAGCAAGGGTTGGAATAAAACAAAATCTATGGAAATCTAAAGGAAATTCAATTACTGAACCCCTTGAAAAGAGAGGGAGAAGGACCTGAAGATTTGCAGGTGATCACAACAAGGATTTGACCTAAGTGATAAAGATGGATAAAGAGAAATTCAAATACCATCCCTTTGTCACATGATGCTGACAGAGGGAAGGTGTCTGAAGTTACATTAAGGAACATGCCCATTCCTCCCCTTGTCCCAATGCTTTGTGGAATATAAGAAAAGAAGCATCTATTACTAGAAAAGGTTGCCAGAGATGAAAAGTCTTTTGGGGAGAGCTAGGTTTCTATTAGCACAATAAGATAGAAAAAATGTGAAATTAAAAGATAAAGGATAAAGGGAAGTTTACAAATGAAAGACCAGGGATTCCAGGAGGAACAGGGAAATACTGGAAAGCATAGGAGGCTATGGTGTATGGAAGGGTAGGGTGGAAGCACATAGGGATAAGAGTATGGGGAAAGACAGGAGGAAGAAAAGCTATTCTACTTCTAAGAACATTTGACTTTGATCACAAAGATAAGGGTAACAGGAGCTGGCAATCTAACTATCCCAGAATAGAAAATAACAAGTTAATCAGGACCCTGCCTGATCCTCTAGGGCCCTTCGATGATCAAAGTCTTTATGTGTTATTATATGCCTCTAGTTCTCAAAGGCTTCAGAACTCTAGTGGTAGTTTACAGTCTCAACAGTACAGGCCATCACTTACCTCTGGAGACCCTGTGTCCCATCACCTACATGAAGTGCTTTGGGGCTACTCTAGTCCATGCTGTTTATTTTATTCCCTGAACTCTGACTGTATTAATCGTGAATACCTTCAGAATTGAACACTTAATTGCTCACGCATGTCTCCCCAACTAAAATATAAGCTCCTCGAGGGCACAGATCATGTCTTAAGATTTTTTTTTTTAATCCCCTCACAGTATCCAGCACAATGCTAAACATATCATAGCTACTAATTACATACCTGGTAATTATTTAAAATTCATCTTCTACAATCTTTTTTACATAAATCATCTGTACTCTATGCTAAGCAAACTTACCTAGCCTCATTTTAAAGTATTTCACATTCCAAATTACCACTCTACCTCACCTTAAACAGTCTAATATACACAAATTCAGATTTACATAAAAAATAAAATAAAAACTGACAATTTACTTTAACAAAGGATTATAATAGGAATCTTTAAAATATCAGGCTCCTTTTGTAGAAGGGGAGGAAAGTTGGACCTCAAACAGACTAGAATTTCTGGGACCCATGGAAGGCTAACCTGTTACTGGTGATCAGCTAGAAGATTCACTTGGGCTCAAGTCTAAGGGAAAATCAGAAATGCTGAAGTACTGGAGTTCCTAGTGCTCCTTTGGCAGAGCTCCTCTGTATTTGAATGGCTTTTAAAAGACAGTGTTCAAATGTGGGGCAGCATTTCAAACTGCAGTGCAAACCTCTTTCACACTTACTTGACAGGAGACATAAGCAAGGCAAGGGACTGCATAAAGTGAAATACCCCTGATGAGTTATTCAACACTTTGATCTGAAATCAGAAAAAGGTGGGAAAAGGATTAGAGAAGACCAATAACCTGTGTTTAATTTAACATTAGCTCATTATTACTGTGACCAGGAACAAGGAGTTTTAAAGAAGACCAGCAGGGAGCAGCTAGATGGCCTATGTGAAACAATGCAGCCTCCAGAAGTTTTGTGACAACATTTTTGCTCAGCTGCATTAGAAATTTAGAAGAGGCCTAACAGCCCACATCAATTATCTATATAGCAAAAGGGGTAGTGGGGTGAAAAAAGAGAGGACGGCACTAGTAATTTAAATCAGAGAATATCAAAACTTTTTTTTCAGGCAAGAGGTTCACTTCTTTATATAAGTGCTACCAAAAAACAAAAATCTTGGAATGGTTTAAAATTTAGCATGCTTTTATTTTTCTCCCCAATCTATCTCTGCTGAAAGAGCTAATTAAAAACAAAATGGCCTAAAGAGCAGCATCAGAAGAGTATGAAAATCAACGAGCATGGATAATCCACCAAGTGAATCAACTCCTGGTTATATGTGAGTTGACTACACAAATCCATAGCCTACCATAAGTAATTAAGCAGCATTGAGCTGGTCTCTATTAAATCTTTTTATATTTTTCAGAAGGTGGGATGGGATATAAAAACCTTGAAATGTTAGGTTGAGCACTACTGAATAAGCCTCTGCTATGCCTCACTGAACAGGGATTTTGCAGAATTACATTCCATTGAACATGTCCCAAACTAGGAAACCACTGAACTCCAACAATTCTATTATTACTTCATCTCTGCTGAGCTCAGCAAAAAACAGTCCCACCAGGCTCATAAATACATTCAGTGTTTTAATTCTTAATTTAATGTTTTTCAGGGTGAACTTTTTGTGCTTCTTTCTTGTAAGTGCCTGAGAAGAACTTTTACCAGAAAAATATCTGAACACTGAACCATTTGCTATGAGGAAGTCACCAGTCACATATACCTGAATGAAAGGAACGGCCCATTTACTAACACCAGCTGGACATCGAAGAATGTGGTTTAAAAGGAATAGATGATCCCCAGGGCATCCAACTCTTTGTAACACTGATACCTGAACAATATAAAAGATAAATAATCTAACTATTCAAGAAAAGTAAAGGAAACATTTATTATAAGGATGAGGGCCTACTATAGCAGTTGAATCTTATCAAGTCAAGACGCTACTAGAGATTACAGAATATTAGCTTAAGACCCCAGCTCTGCTATTTACTATGTATATAATCTTGGACAACTCACTTGCCACTCTTTAAGTACCAGTTTCATTATCCGTAAAACAAATGGGTTCAACTAGAAGATCTCTAAAGGGCTTTCTAGCCTTAAATCCTATAATGATTTGTCATTTATTATCATATTAAGTGAACACACATATAACACCTTCCAAAAGATGCATGTACCATTTCACAACACTACAATGGAAACTAAACATAAAACAACCTTACTATACTTGGATTTCTACCAATTTAGAGTCAATGTGGGTCTACGAATCTGAGAGCTAGTATAAAAACATCAAAAGTACCTTCTCCAAATAGTTCCAATTTTGATTGCCTTATAAGTACAAATCCCTGAGGTTCCTGGCCATATGTGATAGAATGAAAAAATACAAATTAAGAATAGATTAAATATCTAGCCTTTTGTTCTTATGAACATGTTGTGTCTGGAAGATAGCCCCAAATACATAAGAAAGCTAGTGAAGGCCAAGACATTCTCTTTGGTAAGTGGGAATTACCAATCTATTAGTTTTTTGGGGTTTTTTAAAGTATTTGACATGCATTTCCTTTCTTCTTTGCCTTTTCAAGAAACTAGCATTCGTATCACTAAAACTACCAGAAGCTAACAGCAAATATTATGTTTTTCTGAAGTTTTATATTGAGAGGTATTCTATATTTTAAATGGCTTTCTAGGCTTAAAATTTGGTAGAGTTTTATCCAGCATTATATCCTTCTCTAAGAAGGCTCAAAGATCGAAGTAACTGAACTCAAGAGTTCATTAAGACAAGGCCTCATTTTCCTTAATCACATAAGAAAATACCACTAAATGTGAATTAGGAAAAAAAGATACTCAATAAGTACTAATACAATAGGGGGAAAGATAATTTATCAGAAGCAGTTACTGAAGAGAAACTGGACCAAAAATAAAAGCAATGACTTCAGGTATTTCAGGAAGGGGGAGGGAAAGGTAGAAGGTACTGCTGGCCATCTATCCCTTACCAATTTCTGCAGCCAAAGAAGAACATCATTGTAGAACTGTGTATCTTCTATAACTCTCCGGGTGAACATAAATAAAACACTAATACACTCCTTCAGGTGACACAAATCAGAGGGAAGACTTTCTGCCTGTTTAGAAACTATAAATTAAAAGAAAAGACTGAATGAATCTACACAAATGGTTTTTAGTAGCATCTTCAAGTACTGACTAAATCTTAAAACTTTAAAAAGTCTAAGGAAAAATTCTTTTATTTAAAAATATTTTGCATTAACATGCTAATTCCAAAACTGTTTTTATACTTAAGAAAAATACAGTAAGTCAATGAAGAAATGAACTTTAAAATACTGACTACTCATCAGAATAGATTTTGAAACAAACTTGGGCAGTTATTTTAACATTTCTGGGCCTCAATTTCCTCAGATATAAAACATGTTTGGACTAGAGCCAACAAAACAACAAAAAACCTTTATTAAACACCTACTATATACAAGGGACTGATGAGCATAAAAGGAAAATAAGACATGGCCGTGCCCTCAAAGAGACTGCAATACAACAAGGGACACAAGACATATACACAAATAACAAGGATACAAAACAATAAAAAAAGTGTTAGACTTCTCCATTAGCAAGATTAAGCCAGCGGTAGTGTATAGGATACAATAAGTATATAAAAGAAGCTTTCAAATGTTATAAACACTTGCAGGATCAGAGAAGAATTCATGGCAAAAGTGGCCTGTAAGTTGTACTTTCAGGGATAGGTAGAATTTAAACAAGCATATATGGAGAGAAAAGCATTCCAGGTATAGAGAAGGGTGCGACCAAAGAATGATACAGATGATAGCACACGATGCATTCAAGTCTCATTTGGCTGAAGCATGAAGTGCAGGAGAGTGTATGATCTAACACAAGGATTCAAAAAATTGAGGCAATATTATGAAGGGCCTTAAATTCGAGTTCAAGTTTTCATTTTATCCAGCAGTCAATAAGGCTGAAGGTTTTGAAAACAGAAATAACAGCATCAGACTTCCACATTACCAAGACTAAAACCTAGCAATAGTGTAGATGTATGGGGTGGGGGGAGGGGCCCTGGAGTGGAAAGACTAGAAGCAAAGGGACTGGTTTGGAGCCTTTCATTAATTGAGGCAAAAGGTAATAGGAGCTTGAACTATGCCGGTAAGGAGGAAGACGGATGTGACAGACACTACAGAATCGACAGGACTATAGCAACTGCTAAGATTGGGGTAAAAGTCAAGACAAAAAGGGAGGAGTCAAAGGTGACTCAATTCAATTAAACAAGCATTTATTAACTTCCTACCATATACTGGGGCCCTATGTTAGATGTTGAGGAGACAAAGACAAAAGGCCAAAACATGCTTGCCCTAAGAGACTTCTCTAAGGGTAAAACAACATGTACGAGGTCAAAATAAATACAAAGTAATTTGGAGGGATCAGAATTAACAACTGGAAGAATCAGAAAAGGCCTCTTCAAGAAAGTGGCACTTGACCTTACTCTTAAAGGAAAATACTCTAAGAGTGGTGGAAAGGAGAAACAATGTTTCAGAAATAGGGTATGTGCTGTACAACAGCCCAGAAAGAGGAGATAGAATGCTGGGAATGGTGAGCATCAAGTAGGCCAGTGTGTCTGGAGGATTAACAGTATGAGATCAAACTGGAAAGATAAGTGGAAGCCAGCCTATGAAGAACTTTAGATCCCAAAGACAGGCCTTTTTATTCTATCCTAGAGGCAAAACAAAGTCACTAAACTTTCTTGAGCAGGGAGTGACAGGGTCAGACCTGTGCTTTCGGAGATTATTTGGCAGCTGTGTGGATGATGGATTTGAAAGAAAAAAAGAGAAGCAGCAAAGAGATCAATTAGGAAGCTATTGGAATAGTCCAGGCAGAAGATGAAGGCCTGAATTAAATACAAAAAGATCCAAAAGTTCTTTTCTGTGATTCTATATATTAATCTTACCATCTACCATCAGTTACTTTCTGAAAAGCCACAATAGTATAAAACATCCAGGTCATACAATAATCTAAGCTCAACTTGGAAAATCTGAATTGAAACAGCGAAAGACCAAACAGAAAAGTGATCAATGGAAGCGGCTACAGTATCATTAGCTTGAGGTTCAAAAGCTATAGATGAGCTATCAGTGACAAAAGAGCACATAAATTGGGATAGGAAGATATAATGGTGATTTAGAAATGGCTTTTCAGCATGATACAAAAACACTAAACACATAAAAATAAAGTAACCAAATACTGTTTCAAAAAAAGGTCATTAGATACTTCTTCATTCAAAAAGAGAACATCAGAACACATTTAAGTCACAGATGAAAACATTACATTTTAATACCAATTCGGCTTAAAACAAAAGTTATTGCTAAGCTTCTATTTTATTGATGATCATAACAAAAGGGAGAGATTTCAATTACCACATACCTCGACCTTGTTGATGAATAGATAAAGACCTCAGAACGGCTGAACTATTGAGCAATGCAAAAATATAGGACTCTACTTGTAAGCGGGAGAGCACAGACGTATAAGAATGCAGAGCCAAAGTCTGATGTAAATGCTCAGATTTTGCTTCAAATGCCTTCTTTAGCTCTCCCAGGGCACTCTCATTCATCTCCACTGTCTGGTAGCGATGATATCCTGTAACTTTCACCTGGTCTGCACAAATACCCTGAAGGAGAAAAAATGATAAAATATAAATTCAGTTATCCAAAAATCTTGGTATCAACCAAGAAATATTTATTAAAATCTCTAATAAGTGCCTAGCATGGTGCTAAGAACTATTGTTCACATGGAAGAAGTGTAAGATATCCTGACTTCCAGGTACTTATAATATAGCAGAAGATATAAAAATAACTGAGAAAATGAGCAGAAACAACACAAAACAGGATTGCCAAATGGTGTGGTATAGATAATCATTATGATTGAAGTCCTGAGAAAACACAGATAGTCAGAGTAGCTGAGAACAACTTTCCTCCATCCTTTGATCTCACTATCCCATACGATAAACCCATTCTTGAAAGACTTCACCTCCTACTTTGCCAATGAAGAACAAGGCCACTGGTTATAAACTCCCTCATCTACCTTCCTCTCAATGTCAAAATTCCTCTTTATCCACAATCACCTTTACCCCTGTCTCCAAATAAATGTCTTCTCTTTTCCATTGCTAACCACTCTCCCTGGGCCCCTAACACTACACCACCTTCAAGGCAGCTAGATGGCACAGTGGATAGAGCTTTGACCTTGGAGTCAGGAGTACCTGAGTTCAAATCTGGCCTCAAACACACTTGACACTTACTAGCTGTATAACCCTGGGCAAGTCACTTAATCCCAACTGCCTCACCAAAATGGAAAAAAAACAACACTACTATACTACCCTCAGTCATCCTCTTTCTGGTACTCCCAATCTACCTAACCAATGTATCCTTACCTTTTATCTCCAGATGTACTCAGGGATTCCCTTACATTGAAAAATTCTTTGACTGACTATGCTGTCATTTACAGCTCCTGTCATAATTCTCTCACTTTTTTCACCACTAAACATTTCAAAGATGGATTACATTTGCTGCCTTCCATTTGCTCCACACTCCATCCCTTCTCAGCCCTCTGTGATCTAATTCTATATCCATCATTCTAAGGAAATGGCTTTCTTGGAAGTCACCAATGACCTCCTTGTTGCTAAATCCAAAGGTTGTTCTCTAACTACATTATCCTAGTACTTTCTGCCTTATGTGACACTGACCTTGAAACTTTTGCTCCACTGACATCTTACAGACTATCTTAGTTTTCTTTCTGTCTTTCCAGATGCTCCATTTATATCTCCTTTGCTATCTTCTCTTCCTCTACCACCCCCTCAATATGAGTCTTCCTCAAGGTTCAGTCCTAAGTCAACTAATGTTCTCTCTCCACTCACTCCCTTCCTTATAAATTTGTCATTTTCACATCTTCAATTGTCACCTAAATTTATACATGACTTCCAAATTTATGAAACTGTTTTTTTTCCTAAAATAAAAATATTAAGTAATCAGTAAGAACCTATACTTTCAGAAATCACACTTCTCAATGTTGCATATAAAATCTAAAATGTACAACATAATTCAAAAAACTATAGTGGTACCTAATCCTTTAAGATAGGAACAAACACTAAAATCTTTGGCTATGATCTAGAATTATCTACCTCTTTAGGGAAAAAGACTTGTAATCAACAGAAGAAACAATGAGAAGAATAAGCAGACTGCAAACCAAGATAACAACCCAAGTAAAGCATCTATATCCCAAAAGTGCCAGCTTCCAGAAAGCTTTAGAGAACATTAGTCATCATACCTGTACAGTCATTTGCTCTTCCTTAAACTGCCATAATCGGCTTTTGATATTCTGACAATCAGATGTCAAGGTAAGCAGCTCAGCCTCAGCCAGCAACAGCTGTTTCCTGCACCGTGAATAATTCAAAAGCAACTCATAAAATTCATGACGGTCCTGGTGAGCTATACTGTCAAATTCTTCTAAGTATGATTCAACATTTTCTAACCAGGAACAAGGCTCAAAAATTTTCAGTTGTTCCTTAGTAAATGGTACCAGTTCTGATTCAGAAGGGATTTCAGGATACAGTCGTTCATTCCGTAACAGTGGTTTTACTGCCATTAAAGCTGGTCTTTCTCCAGAAAATTCAGATGGTAATTCAGGATAGAGTTTTTTCAATCTAGTTGGCTCAAAGACCTCTTTGGCTTCATAACAACTCTGTAAGCCCACATTGTGTAGCACCTCTGAAGAAAGGCCAACAGATTGTCTATAATCTTGTCTACTCTCAGTTCCTCTGTCCTGTAAACGTCCTGCTACCTGCTGACTGTAAGTACTAGGATGGAATGTAGTTTCTGAGAGTCCACACTGTGCTGATGGATTATCGGCTCTATCCCTAAAGCCCCGAGAGTCTTCTGCTTTGGTGCTCATATCTTCCTCAGGGTTGTACTTTGGCTCGGTTTCTTCACAGAGGTGATGTTCTTTGACCTCTTCCCCTTCTATTACTGTCTCTAGGTTATGTGTTTGGGATCCTTCAATGTCTAAAGTTAAAGAAGTGAGTGGGACATCAAACATTTCCTTCACAGTTTGTAGGCTACTAACATTCTGCAACTGAACCTCAGTTAATGCCTCAGGACATGCTGCTAGGATTTCCCCTGCTGGGGATGGTATTTTCTGCTCTCTACAAGTTTCAGAAAGGTCCACCTCATCAAGTTTTTCTTTCTCAAAAGCTTCACTATATTTCTTCTTTTCCTAAAACAAAATAAAAAATGTTAGGTAATCAGTAACAAGCTATACTTTAGAAATCATTTTTCTTGATATTGCATATAAAATATAAAAGATGATTTCTGTTTAAGAAAAAACAAAATATTTTAATAGGTAGCATGTTACACAGTCTGTAATCTTACTAATTTGAATATTACATTGAATTTAAAAGTTAACTAGCAGAAAAGAACTGCCATTAGCAGACTAGAATTGAAGAGAAATTCTGATTAGGTCATTCTCAATTCCATTACAGATTAAGGAAAACTCTAGAATGTGAGTTTCTTGGAAGCAGAAGCTGTTTCATTTTTGTTTTTGTATCCCCAGCCTCTGACACAGTGCCATGTACATGGTAGGGACTTAATAAATGCAAACTGAATATGTGAGGTTTGAAAACTTTATTTAAAGGTACCTTCCTCACAAAATATCAGCTAGGAAGTCATACAGACACATCCATCAGCGAAACTAAACTGAACAAATAATGAAAAATAATTAAACATTTCAAATGATTCTTTTCTCTCTCAAATTATTTTAGATTAAAAAGCTTGGAATGAATTAATAAAAATATTCATCGAAAGTAGAACACTTAGGGTTGTTCAAGGCACCATGGTAATAACAGCAAGTCAGTAACAACAGAACACTATAAAAGAGTCTCACTAAAGTGGCTCAGTACATTTTACACTATAAAACATAATCTTAAAGAGTTTAATATTAAAAAGAAGGAAAACTATTTTAGGGAAATATCAGCTCCATCAATATTTTGAGATTTCTTCACACTTTTTTATTTGCATAAATAACATCTAACAGTGATATCAACCCTAAAGAACAAACAACAAAGCTAAGGTTTGAACTCCGGTCCTCTAGCAACAAAGTCATTCCTTTTTCCACTATACTGAGCTTATTTTTTATGGCCCATATTGTATAAAATGTATACCATATACACTTTAGTACCACAGTACTCATACACTTGTTAAATGAATGGGCTGCTTTCAAAAGAATAACTGATAGTCTCTTTGAAATTTCATATACAAGATTTCATACATAAGATTTCATACATGTATTAAGATACATATACACATACATAAATTTAAAAGAATTAAATTTAACTGAGAAAAATTATTCTATACATAATTTGAAGGAAATTCTTTACCAGGTTTGTGAAGTAGAAACAAAGAAGAAAATGTCTAATCTTCTTGTGTGGAAGTAAAATAGCTATGTAAATAATAGCTAGCATCTATATAGCATATGTTTTCAGACTTTTTCAAAGTATTAATTGGTTTTGCTGGGTTTTTCTCTTTAACAATATTATTTATTGTTATACGTGCTCTCTCATTGGAATTCAAGGGAAGGATACTGAGAAGAATTTTGATGACATTAAAAAAGATATCAATAAAACATTATTTTTATAAAAAGGAAATGAGTTGTGTAAAGAAAAATCAATGATTACAGAGATTGTTTCATTCTTTGTATTTGTATCCCTAGCAAACTGACTAGAATGTAATAGGTATCTAATAAGCACTTATTTTAACAGTTAAGTTTCTTTTTCTGTCCATATATGTCCACATGCCTCCATAAATAAGTTCAACATACTCCCAAAATGCTTATATATAGTTATGCTATCTTCTTTCAGAATAGCTTAGGCTTGAAAAACTTTCTTATGTTTTTCCATCATGGAATAATTTCCCCACATTCAAAAGATAATATAATCCCCAACTTGGAAAGGACCAAAGTCAAAGTGAATATGTGTACATTTGAATGGTAGATCCTATATGCATGAAAATGTACTGGTATTTGGGGTGACATCTCTTTCTGCAAGTGAATCTGTCCAAGTTTGATAAGTAGGTGAAGTTTCACAATTCATCATGATATATGCCACGTGGATGCCAAGTAAAAATTATAGAAAGAGAAGAGAGAACACGTGTCCCTCTGTTCACCCCTGGTTATCAATGCTATGTTACTGTCTTATAATTCCTAGAGAACACTGGAAGAGCAGAGTAAGATAAGAGGGAGCATTTATTGATCTCCCCTTTATCACTATTTGGGAGATGGGGTATACCCCAATGGAATTAATGTCTCACTAATGAAGTCTCGCTTCATTACCTGCAATATATAAATAGTAACCTCAAAAAAATTTTTTTAATCACAAGATTTTCCAGAGATCAGATGAACATCATGAGAGCTACAAACTGACCTTGGGAAATCATCAAATGATTAATATCAAAGAATGTAGGTCAATCAAGTGGTAAAACAAAGAGGATATTTACAGTGAATTAATAATAACACTGTTTCCCTTCCTGTTGAAAATTGCACAAATTCATAAGCTGATAAATTTTATCACAAAGACGGTAAATTATTCTTTTATGCAGGCATTTCTAAAGCCCTCAACTATGGATAACACTAGTTTAAAAAAATCTTTCTACTAATGCACATACTTTTACACATTGGCAAGTATCAAATAGACCCTTGCTAACAGCCTGCTTGTTCTTTCCATAGCTTCTGTCTTTTTCTTTTCCCTTCTTTTTATACAATTAACATAACAATAAACATAAGGCAATTAATTATCACTGGCAGGTGAAACTAACCAATGATTTTTCTTTAGTCTGAACAGAAGTGTATCGGTATTCAAATCTAGCACTCAAGTTCTTCTTGAGAAAAGACTCATAGAGTTTAAATGAATATGGGGGAAATTACAGAAAAACTTTTCCTTTTGATGTAGGAAAATTGTTTCATATCAAAATGGTACTATAAATTTTATCTATCACTACAAAATAACTTATGGAATTCTAAATTTTGTAATTAACAAGTTATTTGAAAAAACACTGAAAATATTCTTACTTCTTAAAATGGTTATAAAGACCAAGGGACGCTTAAATGACAATTTTAAAACATTTTGAAAGTCAAACTGAATTTTATTTCAACTTCAGTTAATATATCTGTATGTGTATATGTATATGCATATCTACATACGTATATATATATATGTTTACACATGTATATGAAATATCTCCCAAAAAATTCTGAAAGCAAGACTAAGACAACTCTTTTAAATGAAGAGGTGATCACTAAAAGTCAATGAGGCTTCATCAAAATAAATTACGCCAAACTAACCTCATTTCCTTTTTTGACAAGGATGCTAAGCTGAGAAGTGACAACAAAAACTTGTTAAGAATTAAATTTGTCTAAAAGTAAATTGAGGTATCTTGAGGAGCAGTGGGTTCCTCTTTGGTAGAGATCTTTAATCAGGGGCTAGATGAGCACTTATTGGGTAAGTTGTAGAGGGCAAGTCTCTTCAGGTACAAGCTGAACTAGATCAACGGTGATATCTCTTCCAACTCTGAGATTCAAAAACAAGGAGCCCAGGGTTCTAGATCCAGCTCTGCCACCAAGTAGCCCTGTGGTTTCATAGTATTTAAAATGAAGAGGTTGGACTACATTATCTCTAAAAACCTCCTGGCTCCAAATTGCTATGTTTCTGTGGTTCACTTAATTAACAATGTTTCTGGAGTTGATACACTAAATATTTAAACATACATGATGCTATATATCAGGGAGTTCTGTTAATATTTTTCCAGGTCTAGTTTTATGCAAGATTATTTCATTTGAAAATGTAGCAAAATAGCTGTAAAACCATAAAGTAGTTATGAATTACAGTGGACCCAGAAACTAAGGTCCAAGGTTTTCAGGTTAAAATATCAATGTAAAGTATCTCGAGAAATAGCATAGCATAGTGGACCGAACACTAGACTTGGAGCTAGCAAGACCTAGATCAGACTCCTGCCTTAAGACCCTCACTAGCTGTGACCCTGGGGAACTGCCCTAACCTCTGTGAGCCCCAATCTCATCTAACAATTTGGAAATACTAGCACCTATAGCACCATGCTGTTATAAA